TCTCTCTCTCTCTCTCTCTCTCTCTCTCTCTCTCTCCATGTCTTCAGGTGGGGATTTAAAATAAATTAAGTAAGTTAAGAAAAAAAAAGTAGCAATATTCTCTCAGGAAACGGAGGCAATTCTCTTCATATTAGCTTTAGGAAGCTCATCAATGGTAGGAATAGGGAGTCAGTGAGGCATAATTACCCTCTTTAAAAATATCAGTTATGAAATACTTAAGACATAGGGAAGGGAGAAAGAATCATATAAAAACACCTGTGAATTCATAACCCACATTAAACAATCAAACATTTCCCAATTAAAGCCACCTGCTCACCTCCACAGCTTGCGATCCCATCCCCCGCCTAGGGAAACACTATCCTAACTTCTGGGGTAATTATGCGCAGCCAATAGCCATTTTGAACACCCAGTGTCCTTCCTCGGGCTGAGTCAAGAAGATGTGAGCATCAGCATGTCTTGGTCGAGCTGCTGGCAGGCCTCTGAGGGCCACGTCACACTGACCTAGGCCCTGCCCCAAGGTCACACAGGCTGGGAAGGACCAAAGCAACTCTAGGCAGCCAGGAAGAGCCCAGAACGAGAAGGGGATTCGGAGAGATGGCCCCCATCTCACTGCAGGGGCCTGAGCAGGAAGAGCATCGTCCAGCAGGGCACACAGCAGGGTCGTCCGGGTGCCACCTCAGGATCCTGCCACCACAGGGAGGTGGTGGTGTCCCCAACACCTGGTGCGGCCTCCCTATGCGAGCGACCCAGTTAGGTTTCTCCTGGCAATTTGCAGACGTTTCTGGGAAGGCCGCCAGGAGATGTGGGGCAATTGTCTGCTCCACTGGAGGGAACTGAGCCTTCTCTGCACAACAGATCAATAGTCTGTGTTTCTGATGGTGAACTTGATAAATGAGACGGAACTGACATTGCATGATGGGTACAAGCCCAAACCAGAACCAAACCCAAACCCATACATAGGAAACAGAAAACCCAAGAATAGGATCATCGATATGGTGACCAGTCCACGGCCTGGGAGAGAACTAACAGCTTGGCTATCCTGTTCCCCCATCTGGGAAGTGGGCTTCCCCCCACCCCCCACCCCGGGGCCAGTCAGGTATGGAATCAGATGGGAAGAAGACATGCTAGAATCATCCCACCGACATCTACTCAACACCTACTGTGATTCAGGCAATGTGCTGGCCTGAGGGTATAGAGATGTAAGACGCAGTCCCTTCTCAAAGAATTTACATCCTAGTGGGGAAGACACAGTTAATAAACAGTATCGATATAGTTACAGGACGGCGCCCACACGCTTGGTATTGGAAGAGCACACTGCATGTGTGTGTGTGTGTGTGTGTGTGTGTGTGTGTGTGTGTGTTTGAATGGCTGGTTCGTGCAGCAAAGGCTTCTCTGAGGAAACCACTGCCACACTGCCGGGCTCCCACAAGGACAACAGAGGGCGCTGTTGAGGCTCCACAGCCTCTGGGCTGACTCTGAAGTTCTCTGTACCCAGACTGCCAGGCTGGATTCCCACCAGGAAGGGGGGCCTTTGTCTACCGGCAACTGATGTGCCCCAGGATGGCCTCTCTGAATAGCTGTGCCGAACATGAAAAGTTTGTCACCAGAAACACAGTCCTGAGCCCTTATACTGGCCCTGCTCAGAGAGTGAAGCAGCATTTAAAACACAAAACCACCGTCTGGGTGCTGTCTACTGGACTGGGAGCGCTTCCTGCAAGACCAGGAGCTGGCTGGGTATGGGAAGCCTGAGTGAGAGCCACACTCTCCGAAGGCAAGCCTTTGCCTTCTCCCCTTCCCAGGCCTCATCTTCCCAACGCGAATGACTCCCTGATGCTCCAGAGAAAGGCAGCTGGTTCTCTCCCGACAGGACCTGAGCTTCTTCCCAGCCCCACTCCCGCCTCACCTTGGATCCTCAGGCTCTCCTGGTACTGGATGATGAAGTACTCCTGAGTCTGCTGCAGCTTCTTCAGTTCGTTCTCGGTGTCCTGCGTGACCAGCCGCAGCTCCTCAAAGGTCTGGTTGATCTGAAGGTGTTTCTGGGACATGATGTCGGCAAGACTCCCGGCTGGAGAGGCACCCTGGACACAGAGCGGGGGCAGAGTGCCGGCAGCAGTGAGCTGGGCAGTGAGGACGGGAGACCACTCAGGCCTCAATGCAAGGGATCGGCCAGCACCTATCACGGGGATGAAACCCCAAAACCTTAATTTTGAGTCCTAGGAGTTGCAAACGTCATTTGTGAGAATTGGTGTAGAGTCGGAAAAGAGGAGGAAAGGGGGCGCTGGCGGACCATGGCATCTTCCTAAAACATAGCAGGAATTCCTAGTGCCGCTCTGGCCTCCACCAGACTATCCCAATCACGGTCCATCTAATTCCCTTCAAAGTTACCTGGGTTTTCCTACTAATGATGATGACCCCTGGGGACAAAGTGGGGAACAGGCAGGTGAACACACAGTGTCTTTGCTCTCATTCAAGACCTACTTGTGACTGAGGGGAGAGGGAATCAGGGGAACCTCTCCCAGGTATCATCCTGGAGACCCCAAAGTGAAGTTACAGGGGTGGGAGGCGCATCCACAAGGGCTTTGTGGACCCAGGCATTGAAGTGACCTGGTCTGATCCATTCCTTCACCAGCTGGCTGAGAGAAGGCGGGCAGAAGTCTCACCTGAATATAGACATGACTTGACTGAAAAATTATTCATTGGGGGTTGAATTACTTCACACCTGTGCACATTGTTTTGTGGCTGCAAGCTCATCAAGGCTATAAATCAGTTAAGACCAGAGTACAGCCTTCTATTTCCTGTTGCCTCTTAGGACAAGACTCTGTTTATAGAGACACCAATAGGTGCGCCCCGAGTCATCATGACAAACGGGGTCCAGAGGGAAGTGGGCAAGATGGGGTTTCCCAACTCCTCTCCCCACACCCAGGGGACACTCACATTGTTGGCTTCTCGGACCAGCCTCTGCTCATTGTACAGAATGTGCCGGATGCAGCGGACCAGCTCCATGGGGCAGCGGTCATACGTGTTCTGAAAGAATCCAAGAGCAGACATCACTCTGTCCCCCTCCATGCTACGGGCCTAACCCCACCTTGGAGGAGACTCCTAGAGACACGGCGGTGTAATCATGAGATAAGCTGCTCCTTCAATATCAATGGGGGACAAGGAAAGCACCTTGTAAAAAACCTAACTACGTAAGAAGGTAAGAGCATTTCATTTCTTGCACCCTAAATTTGCCCACAGTACTAGGGCATCATTCTTGGACACAGGAGAAATACACTTCAAAAGGCCACCTCAGAGGAGAACCTGGACACCACCTTGCTGGGCAATGCAAATCACTCCGCCAGCGACGGGGAGATGGGCGCTGTACGTCTCCAGATGTGGCACCGTGAGAAGGACGCAACAGCCTTCAGGGTGCTGATCACGGTTGTGTAACCTGAATCTAATCATGAGGAAACGCCACACAAACCCAACATGAGATACGTTTTATCTTTAAGGAGTAGAGGAGCTAAATTACTTCAGAGTGTCAGTGTCACTAAAGACAAAGAAAGGCTGAGACACAGTTCCAGATTAAAGGCAATTAAAGAGACATGATGACTAGACGCAAGAGGTGACGTTGGACTGGATCCTGGACCGGAGGGGGTGGAAATAAATGCCCTAAAGGGCATCAAGTCATTTGCCAAGATGGGGAGACAGACATAAAGTCACCCGAAGGTGTTCTATCAACGTACAGTTTACTGACGGTGATGACTGGACGACAACGATGTAAGAGACGGCGCATACTCTTAGGAAACGGACGCTGCAGTACTTGGGGCAAAGGGACATGATGTGCACAACTTACTCTCAAGTGACCAAAAAAACATGGGTATGCGGAGAGCATATGATAAAGCAAACGTTAACAATGGGGGTCTTTGTATCAACCTTGCAACTTTTTGAAAACTTGACATTATTTTCAAATACAAAGTTTAAAAAGAGCTACAACCGTGACAATAAACAACAGGAGCTTTAGGCAGGCAACTCGACCACGACGACAACGCTGGGCTGAAGAGAAAGAAGCTCTCTGGAGGGAGAACTGAATGGAGGAGGCCCGCCTGGGGCAGGCAGCGGCGACCCAGCGCTCGCACCCACCTGCAGCTGCGTGGCGTAGTGCCCCAGCTTGATCTTCAGCAAGAACCCATCTTCCCCCACCTGGTGCTCCGCCTTCTTCTGCAGCTCCTGCACCAGGCCCTCCAGGAGCTGGGTGGCCTTAATGTTCTCCTGTGGATTATCAAGATCTATTGAGTCCCTAGGGGAAAAAAATTACATACATATGTATACATACATGCACATGAGCCTATATCAACGCAGCCTCAACACATCACACCTTGTCTTTGGCTAAAGAGATTTCGGCGTAAAGCTCACTGCACATTTTAGGAGAGTTCCATTCAAATGGACTAGATGCCTACATGCACCTAATCCTAATCCACTGACTACCTGAGTGGACTGGATAAGAGTCTATTTTCTTTCTTTCTTTTTTTTTTTTTTAACAATGTGCTGCTCTTTCTCCTTCCTCCTACTCACTTGCTGTGGTGCTCACGCTGCCCGCTGGGAATGAAGGGAGCGGGAAGTGCTCTGTGCACACTGAAGGAAGCAGGGCTCCGATAATTTCCTATTTATAGTCGCCCCTTCACGGTGTAAGGGGCACAATGTCGAGAATGTTCTACTTTTTTTTTTTCCACCCTGGAATGGTTCTGTATGTTGCTAATGTCACATAAAGTATTTTCTTAAGGCAGGTGAAACAACATTTATTGCTGTTCCTAAGAAGCCTTGGAAATGATTCATTCAGACAGACTCTTCCTACGAGCATCTACACAAGTCGCAGACGTGGGACCTGCAGGCAACACTAACTCCCCCGGGGAACCAGAGACTCTGTATTGATGCAGAGCCAGGTGATGGTGACAGGGCTTGGATGGCCTCCCTTCCTCCCTCTCTCCTTCCCCCGTTCTCAACCCCCCTCCCAGACACTCTCATGTTTTAAACAATTTAAGGCAACAGTTGCTATTTGGCAGAACTTAATTACTCAGCTCACTGGAGAAACCAAACAGCTATCAGACTGAAATAATATTCAATTACTGTTGCTCGAGTCTAACGCCAAACAAGAGATTCGGTGCTCGCTAAAAAGTGCTGTCATCTCTAACCCCATCATGTCAGTTAGCAACGAATTTCAAATGGAGGCACAAACAGGAGTACCACACGCTGGTAACGGACTTCATCAAACGAGGTGCTGAAATAGGCGCTTGGAGAAGGCAGCAGAGAAAGTCAAATGTTAAATGGGCATGTTCTATGGACTAAATAAAATACATATTGAATAAAAGCCTGGAAGGAAGGAATGGCGGCCCAGCATGCACCCCTGTGTCAACCGGCAATAACGCTCCTCGTCCGAGGAAGCCGTTCTTGAGAAGATCCAGTCTCGTGGAAAACAAGTACTGGTTCTTGTACTTAATTCTCTGTCCTTCCCCCCAGCCCCTCCCCCCAAATATTTTATTACCGTAAACATGAAGAACTGGACATTTTTATTAAAATCTTTACACTCTTTTTTTAAAATATATTTTTATTGATTTCAGAAATGAAGGGAGAAGGAGAGACAGACACATCCATGATAAGAGAGAATCATTGATTGGCTGCCTCCTGCACACCCCCGACTGGGGATCGAGCCCACAACCTGGGCTTTTGCCCTAATCGAATTGTGATCTCCTGGTTCATCGGTCAACGTTCAACCACTGAGCCATGCCGGCCGGGCTAAAATCTTTATATTCTTAAGAAAACCCAAACTAAGGAAAATTCTAGAGTTATTGAGGTGGTAACTTCGTAAGTTAAATAAATGTCTAATAACTATGTTGTATACCTGAAACGAATACAATATTGTATGCCACTGTCATTGGAAAAAAAATTTTTTTAACTAAATAAAATTCAGATTTCCTTTAATATCAACACAAGCCTCTTAACATTTGCTCAGTAAGAAGACGACGTGGAAACTCTACCCAACGACATTTTAAATAAACAGAAACCTCCTATTAATGTTTTTCTGAACTCCTCGAGATCTTTAAAAAAGAAAAGGAAATGGAAAAGCACTAAGCACGGTGCAGTTGACACGCTCACACTTAGCTCTCCTTTTTCTCACTTAATTACACGAGGCTGAGATTTTTTTTTAAATTGCCTAGAAAATTGCCTTCCCGGTGCTCTCTCGTTTCTGGAGAGAAATTCGCTACTAATACACAATTGCGACTATTCCAAGGCAGCGTGACTGCCAGGGATACAGCCCTCCTCGAACAGCAGCATAAAGGCCGTCTCCTCCCGGGCTCTGTCGGAGAGGCCACGCCGCCCGCAAGGGTGCAGGCCTGGAGCGGAGGATGAGTCTGTCAGCTCAGACTGACCGGCTGGTGACAAACCAACCTGCTCCCGGCCCGGAGCAGAGCAGCGGGCATCGGGCTGCCTGGCGTGCACTAACGTCAGTGAGAAATATCTCTATCAGTTGACTGCGTTGTACTAATTCTAAAAGAGTTTAAAAACAATCCCCGCCCTGAATATATAATAAAGAGTAATTTGGAAAATAAGAAAAATAAACATGCTTGTTAAATCTGCCATCAAGATATAATTATTGTTAATATTTTGGTGTATCGTCTTTTAGTCTTTACGTGTACATATAATTTACATATAAATTTGAAAACACCAATGTCTCTCCATTGTTAAATTTGTTAACAATACATTTTTTAAAAATTATGTGAATGGACATACCTTATCTGTCCCATTCAGCACTAAATTCTATGTGAACAAAGGTTTTAATTTTTTCATAGGAACTCTACTACCTACGACTCTGCTAGGCACCCTACAGGCACTCAAAACATTTGTTAATTGGTTTTAACTAGCTGCAATGCTCAAATGTTTTTAGCCAGAATATACTATTAAAGAGAAGATATCCTATTTTTTAAAAAATATTTTTTAAATTGATTTCAGAGAGGAAGGGAGAGGGAGAGAGAGATAGAAACATCAATGATGGGAGAGAATCATTGATCGGCTGCCTCCTGCACGCCCCGCACTGGGGATCGAGCCCACAACCTGTGACCTCATAGGTCAATGCTCAACCACTGAGCCATGCCGGTCGGGTGGAAGATATCCTATTTTTAAAATCCTAAGAGTCATGCTATCTTTCTAAAATTTCAGATGGCGCTAAATACCTCTTCATGGGTCAGGATTTTTTTTTTTAAGGTATAAGTTTTGGAGTCCCCATCATGTTATCTTCCAAATTTAAATATGCTTGTGCTGCCCTGACTGGTTTGGCTCAGTGGATAGAGCGTCGGCCTGCGGACTCAGGGGTCCCAGGTTCAATTCCGGTCAAGGGCATGTACCTGGGTTGCGAGCACATCCCCAGTAGGGGGTGTGCAGGAGGCAGCTGATCAATGTTCTCTCTCATCGATGTTTCTAACTCTCTATCCCTCTCCCTTCCTCTCTGTAAAAAACCAATAAAATATATTTAAAAATAAATAAATAAATAAATATGCTTGTGCTTCATGAAATATGATGGAGAAAAGTCGGTTCACTTACCAAGGTTGGCTTTCGATCCACTGGGATAAGTAATGGCGCACCTCGATGGGGAAATGCTGGCCGTACAAGGCTTGCATCTGATGGAGGGCATCTCCTTGCAGCTGCTGGGCCTGGATCCACACAGCCATGTTTACAATCTGCTAAACAAACAATCGGTGGTTTGGGTGGTTTTATTTCTTCCCCTTTTAAATCCACTAGAGTAAACATTAATATAGTTATTAAAGATAATTGCTTTTTAAGCCCTTTTTGGTAGATTGAAGGTCAGGGTTCTTGAACTGAATTTTAGCGTTACAATGTTTTCAGGATGTAGGTGTTCCGTGTGGCCATGGGAAGCTATCGAGGTGGGTCCATAAAGCTCTGACTATACAATATACTGAAGTCCTAGAAGCAAAAGTGCAAAGGGGAAGAACTGCCTATAGCTTCGATATCATAGACATTTTCTTCACTTTTGTTCCGAACTTGAAGCAACAGTAAGCAGCATCTGAACAGTCATGATGAATAATTAGCATGGGGATTTTTTAAAAATCACTTGTTTTAGATTCTTATTTTGACTTTTAGGAATTACAATAAACATACTGCCATTTTGAAAAAGACCCAGTAAAAGGAAAGTGAAAATATGTAAAGCATGGATTGAACCCTATGTATTATGACTAGTTACCTAAGCAACAATGCTTTGCACACAAAGGGCACAACTTTATTGGAAAAATACCCCAAGGTTCACCTTCTGAGTTATTGCTAAGGAATTTATGAAGCAATGCTCTGTTAAATTATAGCCTTTAAAAATCTTTCCGACATAACAACAATACATTCCAGCTAAGAGTCAGAAACAAGAACCATTATATTTCCAATACGGGTAGATTTTTAAAATATGCTCTTGATTTCAAAAAAAACGGTCTTATAAAACTACCAAGATGCCTTCTCAGACCCACCTGAGAATTTTAAATTCATTTGGCAGAAACTCTGTGGGCTTAACCTGATTGCAGCGGTAACATGACTTTCATGTACACAGAAGGGACTAACACGGAATCTTGCTCTAACACTGATCCCTAATGTAGACTCCGGTATAAGGCAGGGCTATCTTTAATCCCATCCAAAATCAATTTGGCTATTGATCGGCACCATTCTCCCAAGAGCTGTTATAGCCAGGGTCCAGTGAGTTAGAGCTTGCTTTTGTTGAATACCAGAGACGACACGTGTGTGTTAGGAAACAAAAATCCCATCTCTGTTAGTTATCGCTGTCCAACAGTGTAACACTGAGCTATTTATGGGACTCGCCAGTTAGCCAACAGTGAGGTGTGGGGAGGGTGCCAGTTACCTATTTTAGGCTTGTGCAATGCTATAGAGCACTTGAGCGGTGTGCAATTTTATTTAGAGCTTTGGGGCATGAAGGCTGGGATCCCTAAGATCACCCAAGACATCAAATTTCAATGGCTGAGAGTTTACTGGGAGAAGGAGTCTTGGATAGAAGAGCTCCCTCCACGTGATCATCAAACATCTGGAAGGCATTTGATTGTACAATGTCATTTTTAATCAAATAAATCATGTCCCAAGATTTTGGAAACTTGGAATAGACACCGAAGCATGTTTTTTGGATAAAAGGTAAAGGGATGGATGGGTGGGTGGATGAAGGCGCTTAGGCATTTACACGTACGGAAGAATGAAAAAAGCATGAAGAAAAGAATGCAGGTTTTAATCTCTTTTAGTGAAGGGAACTGGGGAGAAGACCTCACCATAGCTCTTGTAGCGACCGTGTGAAAGATACCAACAGATACAAAAACAACCTTGCATCCTGCATTCATTAACTGCATTGACCCAAGAGACAAAAGAAGGAAAACGTTTCTCTCCTCAGCGACTCCTTCTCAATCCACCCAAGTAACATAACATTCTGGTCACTATCCTCCGTCTACTTTATTTTCTCCATACCATGGATCACTTCCTGACATTTATCACATATTTGTCTACTGTCTCCCTACCAGGGAGAAGTCACCACAAACACAATGACTTTGTTTTGTTCACTGCTTCTTCTCTTGGGCCTAGAACAGTGCCTGGCACATTAGCAAGCAGTAACTTTTTTTGTTGCATAAATAAATGTATACACACAGTTTGGTCAAATCTATAGATACCAGTATGAAATACCCAGGCAAGAAATGGAAACAAATTTTATAACTGGGATGACTTTATAATTTGGATGAGTCTATATTTACAAGGGTCTATTTGTTCCTTAATAACATTTGCCACAATCTGTCATTTTTCCTTTTAGTTTCTGTTAATTGGTTTTTGTCTATCTTCCCCACTGAACTCTGAAGAACGGTGAGTGAAAAGAGCACTGTTATTCGCCTCTGTGACATGCAAGTAGTCAATAAACACTTGCTGAGTGATTAAATACACACCAAATATGTGGCAAATATTTCACATGTCCTGCTGTCTGAGCATATTCCAGGGGAGTCTATTATTGTTTTTGTGTTTTTGTTTTTGTTAATCCTTACCTGAGGATATTTTTTCCATTGATTTTGTTTGCAGCGGTTCTCAACCTGTGGGTCGCGACCCCTTTGGCGGTCGAACGACCCTTTCACAGGGGTCGCCTAAGACCATCCTGCATATCAGATATTTACATTACGATTCATAACAGTAGCAACATTACAGTTATGAAGTAGCAATGAACATAATTTTATGGTTGGGTCACAACATGAGGAACTGTATTTAAAGGGCCAGAAGGTTGAGAACCAGAGGAGAAGGAAGGGAGAGAAATATCGAGATAAATATCGATGTGAGAGAGATACATCGATTGGCTGTCTCCCGCACATGCCCAACTGGGGCCGGGGATTGAGCATGCAACCGAGATACGTGCCCTTCGGTGCATGGATTGATGCTCTAACCACTAATCACACTGGTCAGGGCCTATTATTGTTTTAAGAAAGACCATGGTGATATGCCACATATGTAGGGGTACTATACAGACGTCACACTATTTATTTTGTCTTGTGGGGTTTTTTTGTGGGTTTGTTGTTGTTGTATCCTCACCCAAGGATATTTTTTCCATTGATTTTTAGAGAGAGTTGGAAGGGAGGGTGAGAGACAGAGAGAGTGAAACATCGATGTGAAAGAGACACATCAATTGGCTGCCTCCTGCACGTGCCCCACCGGGGCAGGGGATCGAGCCTGCAACCGAGGTACATGCCCCCTTGATGGAATCAAACCTGCCACCTTTCAGGTCCGATGCTCTAACCAATGAGCAACCCAACTAGGGCTTGTCTTGTGTTTTATATTAGTTCTTAGTTTTTATCAAATAGTGGGATGCTGAGCTGTTAGCATTTGTCAGGATATTTTTATGGCTCTAAATATAATAGTTATTTTCTAAAATGACACTTGAAGAATAATAGCTGGAGAATATAAGGTGGCAACCACCTTATTTTGATAAATACAATGTACTTTAATTCCACTACATGAAAATGCTTTGATAGAGAAAGTAGGTTTTGCCTATGAGTAGTAAAAAATGTAAAATAAAAATGCACGAAATAACACAGAATCATTTTTACTTTTTAACTAAAAATTATATACATGGAATATGGGATGACTTACTGAGATTATTATGTAACAATTTAAAATATGTGGTTGAGGGAGAAAAAAAATACCACCACTTTCCCCAATCGCATCAATAAAACCTAGACTCCAAGCATTAGTGCTTTTCTGTATGCGTGTCGACACGTCCACACCCGTTACCAGGCGACACCTACACCGCCCAGCTGAGTCTCTGCCCTTTCGCGCCGGTCCTGCTGCTCCGCACGGCGGGCGGTGACTGCACCCCCCTGGCCTCAATACACTCTCTCTTCTGCTTATTTACCGGCAGCTCCCTCTTCAATGCGTGATGTTCTGACAAGGGAAGTGGTTTGTGTCTTTGGTAAATCATCACAGGGGCTTCTCTAAGACTGGGAAATGGATTCACAATCTTATTTTTAGCCGAAGACGAGAACGATGTGCGTGTTGCTTAGTTGCGCTTGGTGGTCATAAGCGCTCCAAACAACCCGCCACAGTGTGGGATGCAGAACGTTGTGAAAGTGTAAGCTATTTACACTGACGTCATGGTTCTGGATGTGCCTCAGGAGTGTCAAGGAGCGTGGACCCTCAGGCCATTGTTAAAAAACGGTTTCAAAGTTTAATGGCTCATAATGATACACGCTTACTGAAAACCATAAAAGTAAATACTCACTAACAAATAAATTATATGAGTGGCTGGGACTTAGGGATAATTTTGTCTCAATAATAAATACCTTTTTATTAGACGCTTTCCCTTTTAAAAATACAATATAAAACTTTGTAAAGAAAAATATCACGTTCTCTGAATTCTTCTGGAACACTGTGGCCAAAGTCATGCCAGAGCTAAGCTCTGGGCCAAGAGATGTGGGGAGCACATGACGGAAGGGTCCCAATGCAAATGGGCCAACTGGGTGACTGAATTCTAGCTTGGGGTGGGAGTGGCAGGCATAAAATGTGTGCAGGGATCTGGTCTGCTGGATTTATGTGTCTAATTTATGTTCTTAATATGTTTTTAAAAATGAGAGAGAGAGAGAGAGAGAGAGAGAGAGAGACAGAGACATTGATTGGCTGCTTTCCTCACACACCCAACCAGGGATCGAACCCATAAACTTGGGCATGTGCCTTGAATGGAAATCAAACCAGCGACCTTTTGATGCATAGGACAACGCTCAAGGAACTGAGCCACACGGGCCAGGGCTATGGGTATGATTTAAAGCATTTTGTATCACTGGCCAGTGTTTCTCAGTGGTTAGTGTCGGCGCAAGCACCGGTTTGCTCCCTGCCGCTACCCCCACCCCACCCCCCTTGTGTTGGTGCAAGCAGGAGGTGAAGGGTTGATTTATCTCTCTCACATCAATGTTTTTCTCTCTATCTCTGTCTCCCTTCCTTCCACTCTTTCTGAACAGCAATGGAAAAAAATAGCCTCAGGTGAGGATAAAATAATTAATAAATAAAGCATTTTATATTTCCTGTCCTCCATCCCACCACAACCACCATCCCATCCATCCCCATCCCATCCATCCCATCCCATCCCATCCCATCCCATCCCATCCCATCCCAGTCTCTAACAGAGGGTTCAAGTTCTAGACACAATGGCTAAGTCACCTAAGTAGGGGAAGGCGCTGGGAGGACTGTTACTGGCTCACCTCCGAATGAGAGGGTAAGATTGTGACGGGTGGTGTTCCAAGAGCAAGACTGCCCTAAGTACAGTAGGTCCTCACTTAATGTCACCGATAGGTTCTGCCACTTCAAGCAAAACGATGTATAATGAAACCAATTTTACCACTGGCTAATGACGTAAACAAGAGTTACATTTCTATGGGATCTCACCTCAACGTTATAATGAAACAATGTTGAATGAAATGACCTGCTGTTACTAAACTCCAAAAAAATAATTTAAAAATCCTGTTCCTTCCAAGGACAATCTGACTCCTACTAATGAAAGTATGAATTATTAGCAACAAATATTTTGATTCATCCAATAAATAAAAGTAATTTTAGAAATAAGATTGAAAAATGAATTAAAGTAACATTTATTAGTGTTATTACCCACCATCAGATTTACCACTCACAGAACACCTACTGTATGATTTATTACCGTAAGCGCTTCTCTGAACCTACTCATTTAATCCTCACAAAACCCTACGAGGTCGGCACTATTATAATTCCCACTTTATAGATGAGAGAACCGAGAGTCAGCAAATTAAACAGGATTGTAAAATGGTGCAACTTTGGAAAGCAAGCTGGCAATTCTTCAGAAGGTTAAACAAGGAATTTCCATAGGACCCAGCAGTTCCACTCCCAGATATATGCCTAAGAGAACTGAAAACATGTCTGCAAAAACTTGTGCACAGATGTTCACAGCAGCAGCATTCATAACAGCCAAAAAGTAGAAATAACCCAAAGGTCCATCAACAGAAGGAGTAATATGAATATGAATGGAAACATAAAACGGATTAAGTGGAATATTAGTCTTATGTCTGAAGGAATAAAGTACTGACATACTACAACATGGATGAACTTTGAAAACATTACGCTAAGCGAAAGAAGCCAGACGTAAAAGGCCACATATTATAAATTCCATTTATATGAAATGTCCAGAATAGGAAAGCCCACAGGGACACAGCAGATCGGTGGTCGCCAAGGGCTGAGGTAACAGGTAACAGTGACTTTCGATGGGGACAGGTTTCTTTTGGAGGTGACGTATTTGCTCCAGATCCCGTACTTCTGCGGGCGCCAACATATGGGCAGTCTGGCCCGCGAGGCTGTCCTTCTCCCCCTCTACCATGCTCCCTTTGTCTTGAGGACTTGTGGTGGTTGGTCATGTTATTTCATGTACTTTTCTGTATGTTGCTATATTTCATAACTTAAAGAAAGAAAATGAATAAGAGATTAGAATAAGAGACCTAACGTTGCAAAGCTCTGATTTGGGCAAAGGCTTGGGCTCGTTGGCAGATGAAGCAGAAGGTGTATAAACATTGCTTCTAATCTGAAAAGTATAAGGCAAGGAACCAGGATTAAAAACTGTTCATCAGATCAGCGCCTTAAAGACTAAAGGACTTTGGAAAGACTATAAACAGCAAGTTCCCTGGTTGTGTCAATATCAATGATTACATGCATTCAGTGGTGATGGTTACCCAGTAGTAGGAACCTGGAGGGACAGAAAAATATTGAATAGTAGTAATAAAGGATTAAGGCCTTGTTCATATTAAAATTGGCCTAACATCAAGTAAGAAGGTTATAGTAAAACTTTCCCGTGTAGAAGTAGGTCAATACCAGAGCCATCTGCTCTTTAAAAAATTTTTTTCTAACCACTACTTTATAAGCAACCAGAAAGGCAGTTCTCTAACAAAATCAGATTATTAAACAGATGGGACGAGAACAGAAAGAATAAAAGTATTTGGCTTGCAAAAACATAAACAAGGAAAAATTTGCCCAGGCAACATAGAGATGATAATATTCTGGGAAGACAATCAGTCATAAATCTTTACGTCACAGCCAAATGATTACATATTATTTTGGGAAGAAGAGAAAAGGGGGAGGAGGTAGAATGGGGAAGGGAGGCCTGAAGGAGGAGGGAGGGCAGCTAGTTGCTAAATATAAAGACCAAGTCTTAATCAGTGGGTTAGCATATATTTAAAACTGTCACCTAAATATAACTTGGCCCCGCACACACGATCCCATAAATAAAGAGAGTGGACCCAGACAAGGATAATCGTAGCTGCTAAAACGATTAGGTGATACTTGTCGGAGAACAGGACAGTCACACAGTGTCAAAGTATTGCCTCACATATTACTTATTATTCACAGAGGGGAAAGGGTATGTATTCAGTGGGAAAAGCTGGTGGACAACACCTTAGCCAAGTATAAGACATCCCCGATCATGGGACAAACGGACATTTTATGCCTCCAGATGTGACGCACTGAAAAGAACACACACACTAAATGTTTTGCCTCTACTCATGAATAAAACAATCAGACAAATACAAATTGTGAGACTCTTATGAAAGACAGAAAAATGTGGAACTGTTCTAGATTAAAGGAGACCAAAAACACATGATAACTACCTAGAACATAGTTTTAAAAAAAAAAAAAAACCCACACCACAGCTCTAAAGGACATTACTGGGACAATTAAAAATTTTAATTACATTAAAAAAAATACATTCTTATTGATTTCAGAGAGGAAGGGAAAAGGAGAGAGAGATAAAAACATCAATGATGAGAGAGAATTATTGATCAGCTGCCTCCTGCATGCCTCTACTGGGGATTGAGCTACAACCTGGGCATGTGCCCTGACCGGGAACTGAACTGTGACCTCCTGGTTCATAGATCAACACGCAACCACTGAGCCACACCAGTTGGGCTTAATTACATTTTAACATGGCCTATATATTGGATATTATTGTATCAATGTTACAGTTCTTGAGAGTGATAATGGCATTGAGTTTATATAGAATGACCTTGTTCTTGGTCGATACATACTCAACCATTTAAGGGTAAAGTCATGATGTCTGCGACTTTCAAAGGGGAGAGGGAGAGAGAGGTGTTACCTAAATGTAACAACTGTTAACAATTGGTCAATCTAGGCAAAGTGTATATGAGTGTTCATTGTCCTATTCTTTCAATTTTTCGGTAATTTTAACTTTTTTCAAAATCTAAGGGGGGAAAAAAGCAATTAGAGTAGAGGCGTGCTCTCGCCTGGGAACTACCCCTGGTGGTACACACACATCAGGCTTCTCAGACTGTGCGGCAGGCGGGAGGGCGCTGTCCTGCAGGCCGGGCTCCGTCCTGCCACAGTGCCCGCAGCTTGAGGCGTTCTCATTCTCTCTGTGTTGAAACCCATTTAGCAACTTGAAAACCCATTTGGGAAGAAACTACATCACTACGACTTTCCAGGTAACTAAAAACATTTGCTGTGCCCTGGCTGGGTGTGCTCAGTGTTTAGAGCGTCGGCCGGCAGACTGAAGGGTCTCGGGTTTGGTTCCGATCCAGGGCACCTACCTCGGTTGCAGGCTTGATCCCCGCCCCCGTCGGGGCACGTGGGGGAGCCAACCAATAGATGTCTCTCTCACATCCATGTTTCTCTCTCTGTCTCTTCCCCTCCCTTCCACTCTCTCTAAAAACTCCTTTTTCAAAACGACATTCCCCTTACCCCTAATGACACACCTGAACACAACTGGCATACGAGAAGGTCCTTGACAGTTTAAGGGTAATAATTCAAGGCCTCCAGAAGGCTAGAGTTACAAGACCAGATCCCAGAAGGCCTTAGCCAGTGGTTCCTAAATTGGCTCCTACTCAAAAAGGCCAACGGAACTGGGGGGGCTCAATCTTGTTTTGTTGACATCAACTTTGTGCCCAGAACCTGCACTTACAGCCACAGCAAGGTCTGTATTCCCTCCTGGGTCCCTCACTATCTCAGGAAGGCTGAACAGCTCAGGCCAGTTTCCAAGAACAGAAAGGCAGCCCTGAGATCATTCCCCCTAGGTCATGCTTTACACCTTTATGTGCATCCACACCAGTGCTCACCCAACAGCAAACCTGGCAGAGAGACCGAAGGACACTGAGACAGGACACGACCCACCGAACCCAAACTGAGAGCAGAAGAAGGTAGCATTTCCTGTCTCTCCCCTCACCCCCTTCAGGTAGCTTCATTCTCTGTATTTACCATAATCAGAATCTACTTCATTCTTGCTAACAGACCGTTATTTGAATGTAAATCCTTTAAAACAAAACAAAAAAACGCGCACACACACAACAAAATAGAAAGTGAACCTAACCATGTTTTGGTTAAAATAAATGGAAAACTAAAATCGTGTCTGTTAAGAGAGAAATGCCTCATCAGCTAGTTCCTTTGTTTGCTCACTGGATGATGTTCCACTTGCGAAGTCCGACTGACGGCAGCTCTCTGAGGATAATGCCAATGCGTGGAGAAGGATGCTCACTGTGTTTAAATCAAACACGTCCTGCAGAAACGTGGGTCCAACGAAGGGGCAGCAGGTGGCAAGCAGCTAATTCTAATTCTGAGATGAAATGACATTTAAATAAGCACTCACCTTGTCTTAGAAAGTCAACGTGTTCTGCCTCTTGGTGACAAAAAGGTTACCCAGTCTAAGAAATAATAATGACATCAGGACCTTCAACATTAAGAAGAATTAAGCCCGTGCACAAAGTAACTTTTACCACAGCATTAACATGGGCACTTTGCAAGAAAATACAGTTGCTTTTGCTAAAACAAACTACTTTTTCTAGAAACAGATTCTCTCGGGCTCTGTGTCTCCTGGGATATCGACACACAGCTTAGCACCACGAACGCGAGTGACTGCCCCTACAACATACAGCAGGTGCGCGGAGAAACTCGCATCGCTACGCGAACGGCGCTTTCGCCCGAGACATCAGCCAGGATAACGGCTCTGCGTCGATGCTCTTTCACAGGCTGCGCTGTTACAGGAAGAAGCAAAGAGCAGCGATTTCCTTCCAAAAGGTCAGCTGCCTCAGACAGACCAAACAGAAAGCAGTTGATTCTTGCCAACTTCCCCTCCTGCTTCTCAGCTTGTACGCAATAGTGTTTGGTTTCCAGTAAAGCTCCAAAGAAAAACAAACCAAATGTGAGACCCAGAACCGTAAAGTGTCTCACGTGACCGAGTTGAAGACAATACGGTCACATGGGGCCATGCCTTTTAAACAGCAGTGGGGCTGTCAAAAACCACCAGTTTGAACGTGGACTTACACACGAGGAGAAGGACTGGACTGGATTTACGCGAATGTTCCACAAGTCGCTGCCTAAGAATAAAGTGATTTGGGGGCCGTAATAAATGTGACAACATGTGAGGTCCCTAGTGGATTGATATGAAAATAAATCTTTAGCTTTCCTCTTCTCAAACTAAAGTCCAATCGTTGTCCAACACAGTAAGGCACTGGCCGGGATCAATGCTGACAAGCACATATACGAGGACTATATAGTTTCCTAAGATAGGCATGGAGAAAAGACTGTACAACTATGAACAAAAAGAGGAAGAGGACAGAAAATATGATTTTAGCCCTAGCTGGTTTGGCTCAGTGGATAGAGCGTCAGCCTGCGGACTGAAGGGTCCCAGGTTCGATTCCGGTCAAGGGCATGTACCTGGTTGTGGGCACATCCCCAGTAGGGGGTGTGCAGGAGGCAGCTGATCGATGTTTCTCTCTCATCGATGTTTCTAACTCACTCTACCCCACTCCCTTCCTCTCTGTAAAAAAATCAATAAAATATATTTAAAAAAAAGAAAATATGATTTTAAATCCTCTTTAGATAGTAACCCCAAATACTTATGAAGTAATAGAGAACCCGGCCGGTATGGCTCAGTGGTTGAGCATCCACCTATGAACTAGGAGGAGGTCACGATTTGATTCCCGGTCAGGGCACATGCCCCGGTTGTGGGCTCGGTCCCCAGTAGGGAGTGTGCAGGAGGCAGGCAACCAATGATTCTCTCTCATCACTGATGTTTCTCTCTCTCTCCCTCTCCCTTCCTCTCTGAAGTCAATTAAAAACATATATTAAAAAAAATATCGAACACCCGCTCACCCTCAAAGAAACAGCACATTCTTACGTAGACTTCTTTAAGAGCTCATCTATGCATTCAATCTTCCTAGAGGCAACAAATTAGATCCTTTTGAACAGAAAGGTGAAGAGGAAGGAAAAAAAAGAAGACTTTTTAAGTTTTCTCAGCCAGACTGGTTCCTGGCTTAGCTGTCTACATACAACTTACAAGAAACTGTGATGGGCCCTTCCAGGCCCCTCCAGCGTGTGGTAGGCTCTCTGTGGTTTCTAACCCGCTAGTTTCAGGTTGTGGTGGCAACAGAGACACCAGGCTTTTTGTGAGACAAGCTTATGTTCTAAAGATTCTAGGCTTTGATGATGGAGGGTATGTAACCCCCTCTGAGACGTTCAAAAGGAACACAGTCTGGGGTTCAAGGAAAAACTTGTTAGTTTGTTAAACGTGCTAAATGAACGATTGCTACCAACACTAGAAACAGGTTTCGTGTTGGAAACAAAATAAACTATTACATTTCCAAGCCTTTCCTGTACTTAATCACCAAACCTTAAATAACAGCAAAGGAACTCGCACAGAAAGGAGAAAAAGAGAGTATGAGTAGTAATTGTAATACTTAGTAACAGCAGTAATAACATTCAAGGAGCTCTTACTGTGTCATGAACTCACGCACTGCTATATATGCCCTTTATATGCACCCTCATGAAAAACCTATATGGCAGCACGATTATTGCTCTCATTCTACAGATGAGGAAACAGGCTAAAGGGGGAGGAAATGTGCCCTAAGTCCTGCAGCAACAAAGCGCAGGAGCTGGGATCAGTACGTAGGCTGTCCACCTGCAGGGCGCCTCCTCTCAAACCCCGTACGTATTAAAACCTCTTACCCATCCACATGAGATTTTCCTCACAAGGATACCTGTGGTTTAAGACTGCTTTAAGATAAAAGCTACAAAGTGAATTAACACAAAGTACAACTCACAGATAGATACCAAAAAAAATTATTTGACATTCCAAAAATGCTTTGTATGGGATGGTGAGAACATCTAGATGACAAACCTTCAGACAACCAAAAGAAGCCATGTTTGGGGTTTGGTGGCTCAGCTTCACTCCCCTAAACCAATCAGAAATCAGCTAAAAGTGTTAGATTGTTAAAGGGAGTGAGAGGAGAACAATGGGAACAGTTCTGGGGTTGGGTAACTTTCCAATGAGGCCAAAACCTAGACCCTGACCACTGTGGTCAGAATGAACATTGTGACACTTCCTATAAGAAGCAGAGTGGCTGGTTATACTTGTTACATTTGTTCCCAAGTCCCTTGTTAGTTTCCCGTTAGATAGGTTATAATCCACCCCCAAGATTTAGGAGGGACCATCCTAATCTCCGGTTTTCTCATTATGGCGACAATAATCACTTATAAAAATGAGAAAACAGCTTGTGAAATATCCTAGCGGGTAAGTTAGGATAGTGAAGGATACTGAAGTCAGCTGTCATCTGGATAACTGTTCACCTTATACCAATAATTAAACGTTAACTTACTTAAGGCTGTGATCGATCTCAGCCTGCAGGCTGGGGGGGAGGGACCGAGAGGTGGTCAATGCACCTCCTAGGGATTGTTCGATCGGTTGTTCCGGTCATTATGATGTTACGGTCACTGGCTCTTTATATATTAGATGAAACGTGCCTCATACAATCTTTAACACCTTTAGCTAAAAAAGGAATCAACCAATACTCATATTCTATGGCTTTTATCATTTTGATCACCCCAGTTTTAATTTTTTATTACATTTAATTGATTTTTAGAGAGAGAAACATCGATGTGAGAGTGAAACATCGATTGGCTGCCTCCTGCACATCCCCTACTGGGATGGAGCCTGCAACCTGGGTATGTACCCTGACTGGGATTCAAACCGGCAACCTTTCGGTGCAGGGGACAGCACCCAACCAAATGAGCCACACCAGCCAAGGTTGATCATCCCAGTTTTTAAAGATGGAATGCTTGCCTGGCTGGTGTGGCTCAGTGGTTGAGTGTGGACCTATGAACCTGGAGGTCATGGTTTGATTCCTGGTCAGGGCTCATGCCTGGGTTGTGGGCTGGATCCCCAGTGTGGGGTGTGCAGGAGGCAGCCGATCAATGGTTCTCTCTCTTCGTTGATGTTTCTCTCTCACCCTCTCCCTTCCTCTCTGAAAGCAATAAAAAAATATTTTTTAAAAATAAAGATGGATTGCTTTATCTCTCTAGAGTGAGAACGTGCTACACTCGGCAATGAGAACTAAAGCAATTCTGAGTTACCTGTTGCTTAACTACATTGTAACTTATCCCAGAGCAGGAACCATTTCTCATTCATTTTGATTCCTTCAACACAATACTCAGTGCATGGTAGATGTTCAATAATTGCGTGTTAAATACGACGTTGGTAGACCTCCGAGTCACAAAAGAACCTAAATTGGGGGAAATAGCTGAAATGGCTGGTAGGTCAGTTATTTCCTTCAAGATGTTATTTTTACCACTGTGGAGGTCATTAACTCGAGTCCTTATTACAGGAATAATGGGACTGAATCACACTTTATAGAAAATGTGACGGAGGTTTTGACTCATCGTCGGTGCTAATCACGGCAAGTATAATTGCAAGCTGTACCATTCCATAAATATCGTGACAAGTTTGCAGAGCAGAGCTAACGCCTTGTTGTGGCAATTTCAAAGGGGAGAATTACATGAAATGGGATGATGCCAATGCGAGCAGAAATTCCAAAGACAGCTTCTTCTTTATGCAAACGAAACTGCGTCTTTTAATTATGCCTCAAAAAAGCAGCTGAGCATAAACGTAAGGCGCAGTGTTTATCAACAACCCACTCCGACGGTTACCAGGCATACTACCAAGCGCAATCCGGAAAGACTGAGTACTGCGCCAAAACAGGAGGGTAGAGTTCTACATCCAGAATGCAGATTCCCGCTGGGAGGGTGGCTCGCCTGATAGACGCGGAACCTGTTACTTATCTCCTGAGAGTTCTCCAACTGCAGGATCGAATGCCAACTCGGGAAGGTATTTCAGTAAATACCGCCGTGCATGAGTGACTGCAGACTATTTTTTACTGCAGACGTACTTCCATGTAGTAAAGTAAATTTAGCAAAGGAAAACAGAGTCTTGAATGGTTATGGATGTCCCCTACCCCTGCCAAAAATGACAAGCTGCTCGCTCAAAAGCTGTCCCTCATTAGCAGCTGCTGCTGTGAAGAAAACCAAACCAAGTGCCAAGGAAAGCGTACTGAACTGGCCCTGTGACAAGGAATGGAAAAAGCCAGCATCTCTTTGTGACCAGCAAACTTCCCAAATGTTGGCCATCTAAATGCAGGAGGCCTGGGGGCGGGACAATGAGGGCAATCGATGTCCATTCATATTTAAACAGGAAGGACCAGGGGAGACTCCCAGCACCTTGAAAAGTCACAGAAATCCCAGGTACTGACGTTAGGGAATGCCACCACAGCCATTCCCACCGCCTCTCCGAGAGGAGTCAGATTTGGCACGGGGTGATTCTTTTCGTTGTCAATTCTGTCTCGGGCGTGCAACACCTGCGGTTGTAGACATCATAAAAGTTGAATGTAAAAAATTACCTCTCCTATTCTCGTGGCTTTGGCCCAAACTCGTAAGGCTGAGTCTAGTTGCGGACCCACCATGCTCCAGGCTGAGAACACGGGGTTAAGGAAAGCAGTGTCAGAGGCTCTAAAGCCGCCCACAGACGGGGATCCTGCTTGAAATCTGAACTGCACGGGATACTCTTCAAATCGCCCTCCAAGGCTCTCCCTCTC